TGCATTCTCATCACTCCTTCCTACTACCATCCTAGAAGGTTAAAGAAATTTGTGTAGAAATTTGCTCAAGAATTTAAATACAACTTATATCAGAAATTCCTGGCCCCACAAAGGACTATACCGTGCCCGGGCATTCTAAACATTTCTATTTGCTTCCTGCCCAAGAGCTATCATTTCTATGATTCAACTACTAAAACCTCAGCAGACTGTATATACTCTACCTTTCCAGTGAGGAAATGGAGCTAGAATCTTTTAGCTGTGTTCATAAGCTTTGAGGAAATTTTGATCTGAGCCTCTGTTTTTCTGGTCTACTTTGAGGAGGGGGCGGAATTAATTTCTGTGAGGACTGATAAAGTCTTTGAACTAAAAATCTGTTTTAATTAACAAAGAATTAACTATGCATTTCTCCTGTGTAGCTTGCTAGAGATCAGAGACGCAGTCAGTGGAAAAAAATGTACTACTTTGAAGTGCAGCCAACTGCTTCATCATAATAGGGGACACTTGCACTCCATTCTCTAATGAGCGCACTATCATAATGATTCTCTGTAGCCTACTATCCAAAACAACATTAAATGCTATACAACTTTTTCTTACTCTAGAAAATGACTGCCTAACAAAACAAATACTCTTTCATTAAAACTGATAGCTCTTAATGCCAGATATGAACTCTGCACATCATGTTACTGCCATCCATTGTCATTTACCGCTTTTTTTTTTTACTGTATCTACACTCAAGAAACAACATTAAGCCAGCATGTATGGGAAACTAAAAATCACATGCTCCAGAACATGTAAGTATAAGTTAATGTATTCCCCCTAAAACTTATAAAGGTGCCATTAAAAAGCAAAAAATATCTATAAATCAACACTGGAGTAAAATACAGATCCTGGTAAATGCATCAATAAGCATTTCAATATTTAGATAAATTGATTTTTTTTTTTTTTTTTTTTTTTTTTGCCAGAAAGTAGAAGTTACAGAGTTAATGCACTTGAACCTTACATAAGAAAGTGAGAAGAAAACACAGCAGGAAACTAGATTACCCCAGTAAAACAGTTTAAGCATACAATTATAATGGAAAAGCTTATTTCATGAGTGGTAAATATCTCCAAGTCTTCTTTCACATCCATAAGCAAGACAGCTTAAACAAATTGTTCTGCCAACATTTCTAGAAAAAAAGATACCTGTGTGTCTGAAGGCATCTTTTTCAGATACCGTCAACAAGGCAAGCAATGCTAAATAATGATGTTTGCAAATCACACGCTGACAGTTTTTATTATAAAACTTAATAAAACATTTAGTGATATGGTTTGTACGTTACCCAGTAGCAAGAGAGCTAACTTTCAAACAATAGCATGCCTCTGACTTTTACAGTATATTCAGGTGAGCAAATTGTAATACAAGACAGATGTCGCACACTTCTATAAAGAGAGGATATAAAACAAGAATACATGGTAGAAAGAGATTGTGAGTTTTCAAGTACTATGTTAGCGAACAGTAACAGTAAAAATAATTAATATCCTAAGAGAGATGGGGGCTCAAAAGAAATTGAATACAATCCTTATCATACAATCAAGCCATTTGCCCATATATCTCTGCATCTTGGATATTTTCCCCAAACTTCTACCACTTTTTCCAGAGTATTGTGCTTCAACATTGCCACCTCATCTTCACTAACACCTGACCATTGGCTGGTGACTTCTCAGTATTCTTTAGGCCTTCATTCTCAACTCTGCCTCCTCCTGCATACTTCATAGATTTTACATGGAAAAATAAAATAGGCCTGAAAATTACACTCTGTTGCTCAGAACAACTAAACCAAATAAGCAAGATGACATCTTTACTTTAAGGTTTCCAGTTTATGTCCCTTCACTTACGATTAGGTTACCCTGAGCTCTTAGGAAACGGGGATTTGTCCACATCTGCCCACACTATGACTAATAACCAGCAAAGAGCAGAGAGAATTGCTCACCTCCACCTCCCAACAGCGTACATACAACTGACTCTAACAACCCTAAATTTTTCTTAAGCCCATTGCTAAGAGTTTGTGTTCCTGGAAGGGACAAGTTTGTTGCTTTCTATTTAAGAGAGTTTAAAGCACATATAAATAAATACATATTAATGCTGTTTTTAAAAGTAACTTACACTTTTCCTGAAAGAAAAGCATAACAATAAAATAGTTTAAGGACAGAATTTGTGTGCACCCATCTTTTCTGCACATTAATGTTTGAGGTTATAAATAAAGACCAAACATTGTTTCCATCCCTAGGTATCTATTCCCAAGTGCACTTCTGTAGAATAATCTCTAGTAAGGAATAAGCAGCCATGCAGTTATTTACCTTTAAGGCATGTCTGTGAGCTAAAAAGTATCTTAGCATATATTGAACTATATACACTGTCTTGTTGACTCTAGAATTATTATTTCCTGGAAGAGTGTTAGGCAGTCTCTGTTAGTCTAGACGATGCCTTTAGAGCATCTACTGAAAAAGCCTTTGATTCATTTACTAATGAATCAAAAGCACAAATCACAACCGCATATTTATTTTATGCTCTGGGAAAAGACAAGGGAATTAATAGCTTAATCCCAGCCCCTTCCATGCAGGAAATAAAAGTTTGTTCTAATAATAAGTCCCTTTTCACACTGGGTGCTTGTCTAACCTAAGATAATATTAATTGAATCTCTTCGGCCAATAATAAAGCACTTTCTCTACACCAGTTTCCTGCCACTACAGCAAAGCACGGATTAAGTGATGACTGCAATGGGAGTGCATAGCCTGAGGGAGAGAAGAAAGAAGAGCTGAGATGCACATACTGCTTACTCCAAGTCCTATGTTTATATATTTTTAAAACTAGAAAGACACTTCTATGGAAAAGTACCAGACCCTGCTAAAATATACTACTGGGAATACTGAAAGAAGGCTTCAATCATTACAGAGTACACAAAAGGGAAAGACTTGGGTGAGCCAAGGGCTGACAAACTAATAAGAAAATTCAGCTACAAGCAGCAGAGGCTCTCGTTCTCTGTTTTGGGACAGAAAGAAAATTAGATCTGCCTGAGCAAGGGACAGATTTAAAAAAATACCCCTCAGGAAAGTCTGACTTAATAAATTTTACTTTATATAGAGGCTGGCTGAGAGCATGCACACAATTCCTCAATTTGACCCACCTAACATATAGAATTTGCTATGCCAAGGAATGAGATTTCTTGCAATCATGATGAAAATACTTTCATAAGCATGCCACAGTAAAACCATCAGTGGTTTAACAAACCAGACCAACAGTCTCTTGTTAATGAAGGGTTTCAAGAAAAGAAAACAACATAAATCCCATAATCCTAATGAAAATAGTATCATTCCCTCCTTGACAGAATCATTAGCCTAGGTATTCCAAACCTTTTTAGATACTTCTTGCGGGCAATTGTTACTTCTCAAAGACAGACAGAAATATCTGATTAAAATTTATCTAGTCCTACAGTTAAGCTGTTTCCTGAGGAACCTCTATATTATATAATAGGCTGCAAAAGATTATGCTACTTTCAAATACATCCACTAGCCTACACTAATTAACTTTAAAGAAACTATACACATTTAATGTCTTCTGTTATTTCATTATTTGTATATACAAATGCACCTCAATTGCATACTATATAAACCTCACTTCCCCTTATTAGAATCAGATCAACTGAGATATGGCAGCCAAGGGCTTTGGATTTATTAAATTCAACTCTAATGTAGACTTTGCTGTCTATTCTATCAAAGTCTTAGCGATCCATTAAAACTGTATACATTCATTCTCACAGTCACACTGTGCAGCAGGAAAGTGCGTAATATGACCAGTGGTCACAGAGAAGTTAATGCCAATACAGCATAAAGCTTTTTAAATCTCAGGCTTGCACGTTAATGGCTGGGCTCATCTTTCTACTCTGCTACCTAGTCTCACAGCGTAAAATAGATGGCTTGCTTCATTCCCTGAAGACAGCAATGTTATAATTGCCGAAGGTTTTTGGCCAAATGAGTAGAATTAAAGTGAAAATCTTCAGAGGAAATTTTAATTGTTCGAAAGTTTCATATAATTGCAAGAACTGATGATAAACATTTCCTTTTTCCTGCAAACATTTCTTTTCTCCTGCAAAAAATCACAAATGTTAGCAAGCAACCCCCTTGGTCCCTAAGCCTCTTGTTCTGAGCAAGATGATGAAGTGATCAGAAACTAACTTCACCCTTCTTTAAAACCTAAACTAATAATTTCATTTTTGCCAGACCTCTAAAATGTCATTACTTTCCAAAAGAACAACATACAGTAGTTTCACAGCTTTAGGTTGCAATTGCCTAAATTTTCTAAAATTTATAAACGTGGAAATAGCATTTCCCTTCCCTCTTCTTTGCCCCTGTAACTCAGTAACAGGCTCTTACTCAGCAAAATATTTCCAGCCTCTGTTGCATAAACTATTTTTCTGATTTATCAGGTACTTAATTGTTGAATGCCTGCTCTATCAGTTGCTGCACTTGCTAACTGAGCACTCTGCAAGGCTTCTTCTGCTCTGCTGTGGCAGCTCAGTGCGTTCCAGAACACCCTGATTACATGCCAGAATTGTACCAAGTTTAAAATAGAATACCACACAGATGCATCAAGATCTGTTAGTCATTCTCTTAACAGCTCTACCACACCATTAAGAACTAAAGAAACAAATGTGAATTAACTTATTTTAAGAATTCTCTATTAACATGACAAAAAGGCCCTACTGATATCAACTTCCTTTTACACGAGGAGATCTTTGATACTACAGTCCTCTTTCGCATAACGCATTATTAAACATTTCTTCATCCTCTGGGGAAAAAAACAAAACAACCCCTCCTTTTAAACCACGTTATCTTATAGTTTACGAAAAATTTCTGTAAACTAACTCACCTAAGAGTTGCTGGTATTGCATAGTCTTTGTAAAAATTAATTTACACTTACCTAAAATAATTATTTTTAGCATATGATACAATAAGGATTTTACCTGCCGCTTCTCTGAAGTGCAAATATGATGCCTTTCTCCTGAAAAGGAAGCAGTTTCTTTCTCAGTCTTTCAGGTAGAAAGGACAGCTTAGCATCAACATTTTCTGAGTAAGAAGCTTCAAATGTAGGTGTTTCCTGGAATGTACTAGCCATGTTGAACCTAAGGGAAATAAAACCAAAAAAAGATGTCTTACTTAAAAGGCAGGTCTGCAATACGTTACAGAATAAAGCTTCATGCAACAATAATATTCACTCCATCTTCAAATATTCAATATCTACACAACTCTTCTCAAGTCTTGAGAATTCTCCTTAGAAAGCATAAAATAATGCAGATGATGGAGGAAGAGCCTACCACCTCAGTATCAACAGAATATTCTAACTATTCCAGTTTGAAGAGGTCAACATGTATCACTTCCTCAATGCTATGAAATGGTTATTTAAGAAAGTTCCCTATTCATAGATGACAGTTACTGGCCACTCAAACAGACCTAACTTGTAGACATTGAAATATAACTCTTTTAGTATACATTTTTCAGAAAAGTTACAGAAAAAAAGGTTATTTAACCTCCTGATGGTGGAACTAACAGTCCTCTAAAATTTTTAATCCTAAGAATCAAATCAGGAAAAAAGGGCAAAATATGCCCAGTCTGGGGGAAGGGGGCGGGGGATGAAGCAAGGAACTTTACTCCCCTCAGAAGGATACAATCTTAAACCACAGAATTAATCAATGAAAATTCTCATACTGTGCTTCAGACTGAAAAAGTGGATTCTTCATTCATTTTTGTCCAAGGGGACAGAGTCAGAGAAGAAATACTAGCTTTTGTTCTCTTATAACTTCAATAGACTTTAAACAAACAAACGGTTAAAAAGTTCAGTAGCAGTGCGCTAACTAAACATGAGGAAAGCAAAAAATCGTTACATCAAAGCATTACCTAATTATTTTGGATTCATGGCCTGTGTGAGGAGCAGGATTACCTTAACGATCATAGGAACAAAGAATATCAGCCAAAATATGCTTCCTGTATTGCTAACAGTAGCTATTGTACCACCAGGTTTGATAGCAAAATTCTGAACACGTTGCACTCAGATTTTTTTGATACTGACATATTTCTGAAGCAACTCGGAAGAAGTCAGATATGCTTTGGCGGGATGAACCATTATATTCACAAGAAGAAACGCACTGAGCTACATGGTCATTCACTTCAAGGATCTGCAGGACTAAGTAACCTGGTTTTTTACACTGACTGGTTGCGAAGTAAGATAGACCTGGGGACAATGCAAATGGTTAAAGTAATCAACATCTTAAAGCATGATCATGCAAAACAGAGTTTGCGACAGTTTCCTCCTATTGTCATGGAGTACAGGTGAGGAGATAAAACAAACAGATCGATTCAGATGAAACTATATGCCACAGTGAAAGAACAGCACCTCTGTATTCCTAAAGAATTCCACTTACGAAATTTTAGCTACAAAACTTGAGGCACACTCTTCCAGCTGAAGTTACATTCTCTTCAGTGAAAAGAATCTAGCTGTAACTGCACTACATCTACCTATCTATATATAGCCCAGGTTGAAAGAGCCTGGGCTTTTGTTCGAGCGCAACTATACAAACATCTTCTAACCTGCCACCTTCCACGGGCCTACATTAGACTAAAACTGAGAAATCCTTCCATCGGGATAGAGGGGTTGGTTCCTACTGGAAGCTTTCCAAGACCGTCGGAAGTCCCTGGCCCCCGAGAGCCCCTCTCCATGGTGCTTACCCCGGTGGCGGCGCGGACGCGGCGGGACGCGGCGCACAGAGCCCCTGGCCGTGGTGCTGTAGGATGGGGAGCGGAGATGCGGGAGTGGGATTCCCTGACCCCCCTGCCGTGTCCCTCTCACATTGCCGAGTCAGCCGGGTCCTGTCTTGTTTGACAGCTAATACGGTCTTAAAATCAGGGAGATCCAAAGAAAAAGGGTAAGACTAGAGAGCACTGCAGAAATAAGGTATCGGGAATTTGCCAGTCGGGAGAAAAAAAAAAAAACCAAACCACCAAACCCCAAAAAACTGGTGCTGTCAGTACTATTGACAAAAATGTCTGTAACTGGACAAAAAAACCCAACCCCAAACTAAATTAAAAAATGTCCACCCCCTCCCAAAAAAGAAAAAAAAAAGAAAAAAGGACCTGATTGTTCTGGAAATCCACTGAACTGTTGTAGAACCCTAGAAAAATGAGAATTTTGGAGTTTCCTGTCACCGGCATCACCAGTCAGACTAATGACATCCAGACAGACAGAAAATGAGTGAGTGCTTTTTTTGGTTATATGATGAATTATAGGCATACCTATCAAGATACACATCACAGACATTCAGAGAACTGGAAAGAAAATGCTGCAGGCGAGCCTATGGTCAAGTTCCACGAGATTGTCATTGTGAAAGTATTAAACAGGGTAACATTGGAGAACTTCTGTGCATACCTTCTTGGGCATCTATTACCACTTCTGCAATGAAGTGGTGTGTAACCACAACCGTTTTGACATACCATTCTGCTGGACAATGAGGGGGGAAAAAAGTGAATTTAAATTTAAAATATTGAGCAACACTCAAAGTTGTGGCATAAGGGTTGTATTTACCGTTGCTACAGATTTTGTTCTATTTTCTATTAAATTACTTAGCTGCTATAGAATCTATTTTAAGTAGCATATTCTTGAAGAGTTATCCTTTGTCCCACATATAAAGCCCTAGAAATATTATTCCACATGTATGAAAACAACAGTCCTAACTGGAATCATAGATATGTGTGTGCGTGTGTATACACACACTTAAGGACATAGTATAAACATAGTCTCAACCCTGGTCTCAAAAACTCAAGGGTCTGAACACCTGATGTTACTCACTGGATGAGTGCAAGTGATTCACACAGCAGTAAGAACTCCACAGCTGGAGAGAGGCTGCTGTTGTGCTTCCAATAGCACGGTCAAGGTACAGAAAGCCCAGTTCTCAAGTAAGTCTGGTACCATCAGCAGAAAGACAGGATCTTTTCTCCCTAGATTCATAGCAGGTCATGCACTCAAGGTGCTAACCTAACAAGAGATAAGCCCAGTGCTGCTAAACCTCCTCCCGATACAGACTTCTGACTAAAGACCTTCTAGAACATAATCTGTCCAAAGATAAAGAGGGATACCTTCTGAATGTCAATGAAAAAGCCAGAGAAAGGAAATCTGGATTTCTTTTGCAAACCAGACATTCTGTGTCATCTAAGTATGATTACACTATTGACTATGGCTTCCCCCCCCCCCCTTTTTATAAATGGAATCTCTCTCATATCTTTAAAAAACCAATATTCTTGTACCTTGGGCCTCTGGAACATTCAACAGCAGATAAAAGTACTATGATCAGTATCAAGGCTCTTTGATGCATGTCCATCACTGAATTTTGCTTAACAGAAGAAGGAAAGCCTCTGGCTTGCCCTGTATACCCAAGAGACATTTCACAGAAAAGAAGTCATAAAGCTCTGGTAAATACCCACTTCATCTCTCAGTTGAGCAAACAGAAATGTTTCAGCTTTAACTGTTGGGAAAGCAATCATAATCACTTCAATAGTTCTATCACAATGTTTTCCACAGAGTATTTTTTTTTCCTTTAAAAGTCGATTAAGGTACTTCAAGACTGCTGGCAAAAAAACAAACAATAAACATTTCTGTAGAGCCAACCTTAAACAAGTATGCTGCACGATCGGTGGACCCAACAAACCTGTTCAACACTCAGTTCTGTGACTCACCCCTAAAGAAAATTTCTGACTCATTTTCTGTGATGATTTTCTATTCTATAAAAGCAGAGAAAATTATATACTTCTGATCAGCTTGCTACATAGCTTGTTGTGAGTGACAATATGAGAATGAAATGTTAACATAATTAACTTTCTGTTGAACTAGATTATGACAAGATTCTTTCACTGAAACATTGAATAAAAACCGTGCAGTTTCAGAAGCATAAATCTGAATTAGAGGAGGCACATCTGATTCATCAGTACATAGCAATACTACCATAAAAAATGTTTCTGCATCAGTCACTAATAAGGTTAAAACTGACTTGGCAGATCTATCTTAAAAAACAGCAACACAGAAAGCACTAACCACCAGATATGTACAAGTTTTTGTTTATTTTTTTCTCTAGGTGAATAATTAAAGAAATGAATTGTGAATAATTATAGAATAGGTGAATAATTAAAAAAGTCCACATGCTGTGAACAATGACTATTATAAAAACATATACAATGACTAGCGTGAGCACAAGACAAGACAGCAATATGAATTGTGCATTATGAAACCTTTCACACATTGCTCCTTGGAAAGGCAAAGTAGCATGCGCAATCACATTACCCCAATATTCTCCTAATTATCAACTTTATGCTCCAGTCCTTTGCATTTACCTTATCTACACTATTATTTTAACTTGGACCACAAGCTTTCAAAGATGGACTTTGCCATCTGCTGTGCATATATAACCTACCACTCTCACGGTTGATTACTATGGAGTTCATGGCAAGTAAAAAAATAGCTCGGATAAAATATTTGATGCTCGAGATATGATTGCCTGAGAACACGCACTTCAGAATGAAGTTTTAAGAACTTAGATAACTAAAATGCACTTCTTTTTTTTAAAGCAACACTTACATAGTTCTTCCCCAAACCTTTTAAGTTTCCTTCAGTTATTGTAAATGTGCACTCCTTAATGATCATACAAAGAATCATACCCTGAAGATTCAAAGATCTCTGTCACAATTTCTGAATAAAACAGCAGTGATAAAAATCCATATTCAGTCTCTATTCATACCTTCAGCATTATTTTATTATATCCAAAGCTATAGAAGGCACTATGAAAGCTATATTGACCCTATGAAAGATTTATTTTGGTTGCGTAGAAAATGAGAACAATGATGAAACAAGACAGAGAAAGAAATTAATTCCACCAAATTGCCTTTTATTGATTTGCTAAAGTAATAATTATACGGAGAATTGATGCCTTACTTGTGTACAATGACTTCAGCGGTGGTGGTCATTTATATTTTGTTTTGAAACAGATCAATTATGTACACCACTGTAGTAATGTCAACAAACAAAAATGGCCTTTTTAAAAAAAAATTTAATCAGTGTAGCATAAGACCAGTTTGTGTCTGTTGTTCTACCCATTGCAGACTCAGAAGCTCTCAGAAGAGAGAGAAAGATTAGTGCGTGTTTTCTCCAACTACAATTTTTCATTTGTTTCTGTGTCCTTAATATGTTGTAATATGCATCCCATCAACGTTCCCACATCTCTAGATCACAAGCTCTGGAACTTCAGTTTTCTCAGACAAAATAGACCTAAAAGGATTAGTGTGGAGACCTAACTTTTCACTCAGACAGTTCATTCAGCTACAGAAGCTTTATGAGTAAAAAAATAAAAAGAAAAACGATACGGTATTTTCTCAAGTGTTCTAAAGGAAATCAAGGATGAAATAGCTGAATTACTAAACCCAATAACTTTTCATCTAAAATTCCTTTAGTATATCAGGACTAGCTAGTGGTAAACGATCCCAACTTTTAAGAGCAGGAATGGGGAAGACTCATGGAACTACAACATGATTCATTTATAGGGCACAAAAATCAGTAAAAATTATGAAGTGCAGAACTTGTGAACACCAGGATAAATGCGTCTATTTGGTGGGAGTCAACATGTCTTTTGCAAGGGTGAGTCTTATCTTTCAAGTCTACCGAAGTTGTTTTGAAGGAGATCCACAAGAGTGTACCTATAAACTGGTTGATGCAGTCCGGTTTCCACTATTTTTCAAAATTAATTAAATTAACACAGAGTAAGTTTTATAAACATATTTGTACAGTAACTGTAATTTCCAGGAAAACTTTCGAGAAAGTTCCTCAAACTTTTAAGAAAACTGAGCTGTCATGTGAAAAAATTGCTGAAACTTTTTTTTTTAAATACAAGATAGTAGACTGTTCATACACGAGAGAAACAACATCAGCGATATTTCAAAGGAATCTGCTCCAACTTCTATTACGTCCAATGAATTCATAAATGATCTGGAAAAGTAAGTAACCACTGAGGGATAAGGGCAGTGTAAATACTAAAAATAAAATAAAATGAAGTTTTGCAATAGCTGTTTGTCAACAGAAGCTGATATCATAATATAAACCCCCTATTTATTTTTACAGGCCACTAAGTATAGCCTTTGAATGCAGCGCAGTAGCAGATGCCTAAAACAAATGAGTATTTCCATCAAGCGTTTGCTTCATAAATTTCCTCCTAATGGTCCTAACTGCTCCATGACTGTATGTTCAATAAAACTTAATAGGGAATTTAAGGCTCTAAGAAAATCATGGGGCCTTGGCCAATTGATTCATCAACGATTTTTCCACCAGTGGAATAATAAAGACTCAAAAAACTACCCAAGCCATTAGAACACAGCATTTTAAAAAACATTACAAGAAAAAGCAATCAGACAGAACAACGGACATCACAAAGCTCTGTAGCACGCAACAGGTTTTCCACAGGAATGTGTACTGGGCTTGAGGAAAACAGACACCTTAATACCTGCCTAGGGGCAATTTTTTTTTTTTTTACTTACGCAATTCCCTGTACACAGCAGCATCCTGCAACAGCAGAACTACCTGAGCACACGCTGCGATAACCCAGCAGCAGCCAGGGCGAACAGCACTAGCGAGACCTTCTGGCACAAACACGGGCTGAGAAAGAACAAGAGTCACCTGGAAGCTCGTCCCTTTGCAACGAACGAGTCGCACTCAGGGCACCCCCCGACGCTGCTCACTACGCAGCCCCTCAGCGCGTTACGTCCCGCTGCTTCGCGGGGCCAGGCCGCGCTCCCGGCCCGACCTCCACCCGTGAGACGGGGCCGGGGCCCGGGCCCAGGCCGCCCCCCGCCTCCTCCCAGACCGCTGCGCGTCGCACTACAGCGCAACCGCAGGGAACAGGCTGGAAACGGCCCCTCCCGCTCCCTGCTACCCCGAGGGGCCGCTCACGGGCGCGGGCC